TTTCGAATGGTTGGATGTGTCAGTTTTACAGGACAATCTACCGGAGGTGGACTGGGAAGTTCACCCTTGACTTGATGTGGATGCTCATTTGGATTTCTTACTGCATATGATATTATACGCTTCAAAGCCGTCCGTTCCGCAAATGGTCCCCAAAATCTAAAAGCAACCTACAGTCATCAGGAATCATACTCCTCGGTTCCTAATCCACAAAAGGCACTACTGGGCGGAATACGAACGAACTAGTGATAAACAACGCATAAAAGCAATTCAAACATACAAGGAACCATTTTACAAAGGCAATGAGAGAAAACAGACTACAGTATCAGACAAATCTTATCGACAAATTTGTCTCCAGTCCGAAAAGCTTAGTCCATCATGCAACCTCTCTTCAAATAGACAAAACCGGAGTTTCCCGAACTGTAGGTCCTAATGACTCGATCAACAGTGACAGTACTTTTGAACATTTCAACCGATCCATACTAATGATATTGATGAAATGTTCACCTGTAACCCAACAGGAAACTTAGAACTGGACCTGAGTGTTGACCTTGTGTACCGGAAACTGCAGCATCTGTAAAAGACACTTCTGCTGGTCAGGATATGTTTCATCTTGCAATAATAAGGGAAGAGACGTCAATCTTAGAAACACCACTTAGTGCTATGTTCTCACATTTTCTAAGCTCAGACAGGTTACCAGAAAATTGGAAGCTGGCTCATGTCACACTAATTTTCTATGGAGATCGACATAGCAAACCTTCGATCTACCGACTTATCCGTAAACATATTTTCACCTTAACAGCTCGGTTTCAGGAAAGGCCACACTTGTATTAACAACTTGCTGACTTCGGTGGACGGATGGACAACCATTTTTATCGCAAGGAGAAGGGTGACGTCATTCACCTTGGCTTTTCAAAAGCTTTCGATAGGGTGAATCATATATGTTTTATCAATAAATTCAAATGATACTGTTACAGGAAAACTGAAGACATTTGGCGAATTAAAACCCTTTTTCTGTATATTAATAATTTACTGTGTTTTTGGATGTATTTGTCTTACTTGACTTCTTTGTTTATATCGTTATTTCGGACATTTTGGTTTCCCTTTGTCGTTGGTTTTGTATTTGGTAGTTTTGCTCCGGGAAACTATAAAATTGAAGGCTTGTTTTGTAATTGTTATAATTATTGTTGTTAGAACGACATTCGGTCGACTATTTGTGAATTGCGAATAAATTTGGTATCTGGATTTAAGTTTTGGTTCTGTTGTCACTTTGGGTTCGTAATTTGCAAGTAGATCGATAGTCCGTACTCCAATAACTGGGACGAGCAAAACTTGGACGTGACAGATACAACTTAAGTAACTGCGCTCTAGAGGTTTCCCAAGCTGAAAAATACCTTGGGGTGTTGGTATCCTACAGTTTGAAGTCTTACGCTAACTGTGACAAATACGCCTTCGGAGCAAATAAAGTTGGAGCGCGTTTTTGGCTAGTTCCACCGAAAGTCTTTCGCCCTAGTCTTCGACAGTTTTTTTCGACTTCATTTAGAGTATGGGAATATAGCGTCTCCTCTCTCATTCCAAAACGATGAGGACACACTGTAAGGTATCCAACGCTGAGCCACGAAATCAGTTGGGGACTCAAATTCATGTCTTATGAAGAACGCCTCTAATCACTGTACCATTGCACATAAGAGTACAGGCTTCTTTGAGGTGACATTCTAATGATATACAGTATTTCAAACACTTCTTAGCATCCCTTCAAACACTTACTTAAGCTCCGTCGCAACATAAAACTCAGTTGTAATACCCTGAAGCAAGAGACATACAACAGTATATCGGACCATAGGCACACCTACTCCTCAAGAGAAATCAAGTGTTGGAACTTGCTGTTGACTGAGCCAGTTCAAGCTACTTCCAAGGAGTCCTTCAAGAGAAAACTCCACATATTCTTAAGTACCAAACACACTATCCTATTATAATTTACCAACTTTTATCTCTTCTTTCTCTTTTATTGTTAACTTACCTAGGTTCTTACCTGAAAGCTTCGGTGATCCACTGCTACGAAATACGAGAGACTGTGAAGCGAAAGATACTTCTATTCTGTCCAGAATCATGAATCTTGGATATCTTCTCAGTTATCGGGCCAAGAGCTAGAAGTACCTGGGATGTCTTTGCTTCGCAACGACAGAAAAACAGGAATTGGGGTGGAGTGGCTTTATACATACAATCTTGCTTGGAGGCAAACCAAGTTCACAACCTCGAGTTTAACAATCTTGTGGAATCCATATGGTGCTCTGTAAGATTGTCTACTACTTCAAGGTGCCTAGTCGGAGTCATAAATAGGAAGCCCACTGCTGATATCGAGTATAACAGTCGTATACTGGAAGGACTAGCCCGCTCTATGCATCTTGGTTTCACTCATATTTTGATCCTAGGGGACTTCAATCTCCCTAGATTCAAGTTCATGGAACAAACGTATATTGGGGGTGAAAACTCAACTGAAACTCGGTTCTTCCACCTTGTTGAGTATTTGGAATTATACAAAAATGTAAGGTCGACCACTCGTTGAAGAAACAGTCAGACATCGTCGCGCTTAGACTGTGTATTTACAAACGAAGAATTTCTAATTGACAACCTCTTAATCCTGACTCCTCTGGGGAAAAGCGATCACGCCGTTATAGCTTTCAGTTTTGTCTGCAAAACCGAGCTAAGATACCCCACCCACAACATGCGCTAGAATTTCAAAGGGTTGAATGTGTCAGCTCTACAGGACTATCTACAATAAGTGGACTGGGATGTTCACCCTCTACTTGATGTGGATACTCATTGGGACTTCTCACTGAGCACGTTCTTATGTGCTACAAAGCAGTCAGTTCCTCAAACAGTCCCCAAAAGCTACAAGCAACCTACAATCCTCAAGAACCGCACACTTCGCTTGCTATGCAACTAAAAGCACTGTTGGGCAGAATACAAACGAACTTACAACAACGGCGCGTACAGGCAACACAAACATATAAAGAACATATGCACGAAGGCTATAAGAGAAGACAGACTTCAGTACCAGATAAAGCTTATGGATAAATTTGTCTTTAATCCGAAAAGCTTATTCCGTTATGCAGCCTCTCTTCGTCAAGCCAAAGCTGGAGTTTCCCAACTGCTAGGTTCTAACGGCCCGACCAATAACGACGGCGAATCCGCTAACCTTTTGGCTGAACAATACTCTCGGACATTTCAACCAAGCCACATCAACTATATTGATGACAGCTTCATCTGCAACTACACAAGACTTTCCGTAGTGAACCAGAGCGCTGATTTGATGTTCCGGAAACTGCAGCACCTAAGAAAAAACAGTTCTCCTGACCCGGATATGGACCATTCTGTCATACTGAGGGAAACAGCCTCAATCTTGGCAATGCCACTTGTTCTCACACTCGCTAAGTCGAGGAAAACTACCGGAAAATTGGAAGCTGGTTCACATCACACCAATTTTCAAAGGAGGTCGACGCAGCAAACCTTCAAGTTACCGACTGGTGGCTCTTCTCTTAATACCTTCAAAAATCATGGGGTCCTTGATATGCGATGGTATAAATGACTATTTATTGTCCTGAAATTTCTTCCCACCCCAACAGCATGATTTCAGGAAGGGTCACTCTTGTATAACCAACCTGCTGACTGCGGTGTACAGATGGACAGACATCCTCGATCTCGAGGGGGAGGTTGATATCATCTTCCTTGATTTCTTAAAAGCTTTTGATAGGGTCAACCATATATGTCCTATCAATAAGCTCAAACGATTGTGTATTAGACCACCTCTGATTGATTGGCTAACTTCCTATCTGAAAAACCGACATTTTAAGGTTAGGGTCAACTTCGTTTTATCTTAGGCTATGGAATGTCCTAGCGCGGTCCCTCAGGGCTCAGTACTAGGACCTCTTCTCTCCTTGATTTATATAAATGATCTTCCTCAATAGGCAACATGTCGCAGACTACAGTTATAACTTAGGAAGCTCCTCTCTAGTATTATCTCAAGTCGAAAGAGATTTAGGAGTCCTGGTGTCCCACGATTTAAAGTTTTACGCTGTTACAAAAATGCCTTTCGAGGAAACCTTACACAGGTAACATTGAAGCGCATTTTTGGCCATTCTTGATGGAAGAACTTTCCATATAATCTTCGATAGTTTTATCCGTCCCCATTTAGAGTACGGAAAAATAGTATTTCCTCCCTCAATCCAAAAGGATATGGACACCTTGGAGCGTATCCAACGGCTAGTCACGAAATCAGTTCGAGGACTCGAATTTCAACGTTATGAAGAGCGCCTCTATCACTTAACCTTTTATCTATTAGAGTGTAGGCGTCTTAGAGGTGACCTACTGATGGCTCGCAGTGTCCTTAATACTTCTGAACATCCTTTTAGACACCTATTTAAGCTTACTTCCAACACTAACCTAAGAGGTAACACTCAAAAACTGGAGACACAACTTCTACTGCTTAAGAGTTGTCAAATGCTGGAATTCGCTGCCGAGCGAGCTAGTCCAAGCAACTTCCCAGGAGTCTTTTAAGAGGCAACTTGGTTTATTCTTAAGGATTAAGGATAGTATAATACTATGATTTACCAATTTCTTTTTCCTCTTTTAGTGTTAACATACCTAGGTTCCTGCCTGGAGGTATTGGTGATCTCCTGCTACTAGACACGGAAGCCTGTTAAGCGAAAGCTTCTTCTGTTCCGTCCACAACCATTTCAACCATTTGTACCATTTAGAACAATTTAAACCATTGGAAACTGATTTCGTTCGCTTCAGCGCGGAGAATTGATTCAATTGATTTTGATTTAAGTAGGTTTCTTATTGATCTTTGTCGTGTAGTGATTCTTGTTTATGGGTTGCTTACATGCTGTTTCTGGTCCAGTTTATCAACTGCATTACCTGATTTCTCATATATGGTATACATCTTGGTAAATGTACATTTACCGATTTCGATGAGAAAAATTACTCTTAGATCAGATACACACGTGTGTATCTGATCTAAGAGTAATTTTTCTCATCGGAATGCGCATGCGAACAAGTATGATTAGGTGCTAAAGTGTAAAGCTGCGAGTTTGCTAAATTCGCTCGACTACAACCCCATCGGTCTGCTATACATATCAACCAGAAATATAGGACTACATCATACTGAAACTCGTTGTTACAACAACAGAGTAGCTGGTCTAAAAGTTTAGGTTTAGCCGGATTTATTTTAGTGCAAGCAATCGTATTGTCTTTTTGATCTGGTTATTCTAGCTTGATAGGCAGGACTAAGCGCCTGTAAAGTGTGGAGGCAACTGCATTAGAAGCACGGGTTTGCGCAGTTTGTGTACGAATTGTTTGAGCCCGCCCTTGATTGTTAGTACCACATCCTTGCTTACTGGGTTGAGGGTTTTGGAACCTTTGTTGCTGTGCTTTGTTCTATGGAATGCTTCAAATTAGGGCTTGATGCTTTTGTGCCCCCCAAACGCCCTGGTATGGCCGAGAGCAGGGTGGGTTCGTCCCCCTCTCGAAATACTCTCACACGGCCGCCCGTATACAGCCTCTGCCAGGGAAGTCCTACTCACTGCCTTCTCGTGGCGGGGGTGTTGTTTACGAAAATGAAAGGACGAAAAGCGAATGTCCGGCGCTTTAACCGGATTCCAAATCGATGGTGCACATGGGTACCAGTATCCTGCGGGAACATATGGCGTATGAACTAATCGTTGGTCACCGGCTACCGTGGGGCTGCATCTCCTTACGATGCTCCACTGCCTTGTTGGTTAGACCTTTAGGTCAAAGGTTCGGAGTGTGGCCCCCTAAGATAACCACCTGCTTCGGTCTGGGCACCCGGGTAGTCCACACGCAATTAATGAACTGAAATTGTGTGGCGCATATATATTTAGCGCACTCTTGTACCAATATATATGTGTTCAAATAAAATGATGCTTTTGTGCTATGTTATAGCTTTAGAAACTACCTAGATTTAGAAAAATCCAGTGCTTTTTATTGTTAGAGATATTACTTCTTTCAAAGCGTAGTTTTGCCTAATGCTAATCCGTAGGTCACCGAGTCTGATCAATGGGTGATTTGATGTTGTAGATATTTATATCTACGTTTATTTATATTATCTATCCATACCTTAATTCATGTTCCTATGCACTTTATAGTGTTAGTTGGTATTTTCCAATTGTTGTGTCATTCATTTATAAGTGCTTCCATGATCTTCGTGATATCCTCACTGTCCATTTACATAACATGATATGATCAAAAGATAAATTATCACCCTTAGTCCTTTGCCTATATTCGTCTGTCTGTACAATACATCAGCTATTGTTGCCTATTATTAGTAGTCTATTTTTATCTTATAGTTCTGGGCTTTCATTTACCTTGTCTTCAACAAATATGTTTGTAGGATTTTCAGTCAGTAGTGATAATTACGAAAAGTTAAGCTCAATACAGGAAGGATAAAAGTTGAGCACATCTGCGTCCTTGTGACCAATTATGGACCATGTGTCCAATTTTAATCTCAACTCCAACTATTTAGCTTTCATTTATGAACACGATTCTGTTCAGTAGTCACTAAATTTGTAAACGGATGCCATATTTTGGTTTGGCCCTTTTAGTTTTCTTTTTACTTATTTCTAGTTCAGCCACCATAGCTTGTAAAGTTCAGTGTCTTAGCCACTTCGATCGGTGCAGATTAATGACCTCAAAAATCATTTTATCATCTTTCCGTGATATCTTGCCTCTGACCTCATCATTTCTAGTGAGATTATAATCAATAGACGACCTTTGAGCATTTCTAAACTGACCTGGAATGTGTCTACCTACTTGCTAGGGCTAAGTGAAGGTTATATATTAGTGCCAAAAATTAGGATCTGCGGGTAAACGTTAGGGTTAGGAATTACAGTTAGTTTTCATCATGCTTTAGTGCTAAAATGCTATTTAACCATATGGATGAGTTTTGCACCAAAACTCAGGATGTGCTATCTTTGATTTCTTTCGTTCGTCCATAATTTATAATCTCCTGGTTGCTCACTCCGTTGTTTCATCAAGCCCTAGCAATCCCTAAAGGATATCTCTGATTAAAATGTTTAGCTTACGCGTATCTTCTCTTTATAGATCATGCCCACAACCATAGGGTAATACGGAATCAAGATTACTTTCTGTTTTTTATACTTTCCTATTACATTAGGACTTCTTAAAGTAATTGTTATTTTAGCAAAAGCAAATTTCTGTGAAATTCAGTTCGTGTGTAAAACCATGCTAGAATCTCTGCCGCTTGAGAATAGCTATCCTAGTAACGTCAAGCTTAAATACAAAAAGCTATCCTATCAAGCGACAACTCCTACTCGTGGATCTCTCTTTGCTGCTGGTTACGATCTTTATGCTGCTCATGAAGCTACCATACCTCCTGGGGGTCGTGAATTAATTAAAACCGACATACAGGTGATCTATATAAAAATTGTTTCAGTAATCATTTTGTTATGTAAAATTTGTTATAGATAAGTTCGGTCACTAAAACTAAATTTGCCAATGTACAGATTCTGGTTTCATACTCAGGCTCAAACAGAGTTTATGATCACAATCTCCCCCACCTTCGTATATGTATTCAATAAGCACCAGTTCATATGCTAGTCTGGACGACCTGTACTACGTAGAGAAAACTCTACTCAAGATCCGTAATGTGGCTTGAAGTCACTCAGTGTAAAGTTTTCAGTAGCTTAGAATATAGAAGTTCGTACTCAATATAAAATTTGGCACTAAAATTTCTATTTGTTGAACTTACACGTTTAAAGCATCAAAAAGTATAGTTATTGCTATCTCACTACCTTCCCATACGGGTTTTTACTAATCACATTCTCTTTTCGTCTTCTAAATTTCGTAAACACCCCCACCACGAGAAGGCAGTGAGTAGGACTTCCCTGGCAGTGGTTGTATGCACGTGGCCATTTGAGAGCATTTCGAGATGGAGGACTCTCTCCACCCTTGGCCTTACCAGGGCGTTTGGGGACCTGTATGTACCAACTATGCTTTGAAAGATAATGTTATATATCACCCCAACGTCTAGTTCCTAGAATAATAAAACTTTAATCGAGTTAGAAATTACAAATTCTGATCGGAAAGTAAGAATATATGTTAGCAATTTGATTACTATCTATCTTGCTTCAATGTCTTTTGAGAATGACAAATCAATATTAGTAAAAACATAGTTTTAAAGTATATCTCCAAGTGGATCTTATCCACCAAGATACAAAATCACAAATCAGAACAAATTCCTCGAATTTTTACAACAGTTTACCCCATACTAACAACATACTTTACCATATTATGCGTACATTCGACGTTCTTGAACATCATTGCTTTGCTGCTGAATCAAATCTATACTACTTGTGCAGGTTCTGGCTCCGTGTATGACTAAATATATATACTGCATCATAGAAGTTCTACACGCTGTTTACTGACAATCTAAATGTCTCAATAAATTTTATCTTTCATTTTCGCGGTCGTCTGTTAAATAGATTGAATTGCCAGAAGGTTGTTATGGTCGTGTCGCTCCACGAAGTGGACTAGCCTTAAAACATGGGATTGATGTTGGTGCTGGCGTCATTGACCGAGACTATAGGGGAAATCTTGGCGTAGTACTTTTTAACTTTGGAGAACAACATTTTGAAGTAAGTTCATCATTTTCACTGCTGCAACTTGTTGCATAACTACACTTCGATGTGATTTCTCAGAGACGTACTATAACAAAACATGCCTTTTTTTAGTTACGTGGACTTGTTTCCCCGTTTTTATTAAGCCATAATGTTTTATTCATTATCTTAACTGACTCGCCTATGGCATCAAAACATGGTCACATTTGGAAAATATCCAAAAACTGTCCCATACATGGGACATTAGTCTGACCGTTTGTTATGTTATGCTATGTATATTTTTTATTTACATCCTATTTCTAATAATGTATCTTAATATGTCAAGTGACCCAATTCACAGTGCCTGATTCTTCAGGATAGTATCAATGCCGTTTTTTCTCATAGTCACGAACATATTGGCCATGGTTTTTGATGTGTGGGCGAGTAAAATAGCGATTGGTTACTTACTTAGTCTGACAGGTATTAGATGTGTTATCTATTTTCCAATCCCTTGTTATTGTCGAATGTTGACGTTGAATCATACGCAAGTCCTAGTCAAGCCGGTCACGTGTTCTTGATCCGAGTTGTGTTGATATCCTGTAGAATAGACACTGGCAGGGTATCTAGTGCAGATATTCGTTCAAGGCAAATTAGTGTCCTATTGGTGTAGCCTTACCAGATGGTTTGTGACTGCAAATTCTCATCAGCAAATGTGATGGGAATCTAACTTCTATTTTATTCACTGACGGCCGAAAAGCATGACTAACAGACAACCTTTTGTGGTTAGTACGTTCACTTAGTTGGATATATTTTTGAGGAAATGGCTATACTGCAATCTACATATTTGACGTGGTATATAGCATCTCATGTATTTAAAAGTGGGTAAGATTTATGGGGAATCTGGTTTTTCGCGTTAATAGGAAAATACGTACTGTATAAAAGTACTCTGGCAATTAGGCTAGCCTTACACTAAATTATTGGGTATTGGTAATGTTGCCACATACGTAACTACTTTCGTTACTGCTGGTTAACTTTATCATTCTAAAATTCAATATTTTGTTCCTTCGTAATATTATTCGACGAAAAACACGTCATTTTAATGTATGAGTGTTTCTTTATACTCAGATTCAGAACGATCGTGCCTGGTATTCACAGGCTTACTAAATAATTTTACTGTATTCATTTCAGATAAAAAAAGGTGACCGTGTAGCACAACTGATTTGTGAACGTATTTTCTGTCCTGAATTAATGGAATGTGAATCGTTGGCGGAAACAGATCGTGGTTCAAATGGTTATGGCTCAACAGGAGTGTAGAGCCTAATAATTTTATCAGAATCAAAATATTTTTTACAATAAATATATAAGAAATATAACCCATTTTTTATGCCTGTAAATAACTTTTTAAAAAATTAACAGACTATCCAATATTGAGTTGGCGACTTTTGTTACTCTTTAAACGTGAACTGGTCGTCCCACCTATGTTTGCAAAAGTACATACTTCTCTCATTTAGGTTTAAGAAATGATACTGATCAATTTTTGATTGATTGTTTGTTGATACTTGAGTTTTGTACACGCGTTTCTCCTCCGAATTATTAAAGACGATCTTGTAGCACGTAATAATCATGAGGCGTAGTGGCAAGTTGGAAAAATGTTAACTCCATTTTTTAATCAGTTATGAACCTGAATGACGAGCATACGAATCCATTCTATTGATAGCATTGGTTTGGATTTGAGATCCTTTTAACATAACTTAAGTACGTGAATCATTCACTCCGAATAATCTATAAGAATTGTTGACAAAGCATCTTTGTTAATTCTGTGCAGTGGAAAAAACAGAATTACGAAGTAATGTTGATCTGTTTAGAGCGCCACGTGTTGAATGTCAATTACCCATCGCATGAACAATCACTTAGACCTGGAATAGTTAATTACAACCTCATTTAGTCATGCAAAAACTAAATTCATGCATTTGAGTATTGTATAAACTCTCATGCTTTCAGTAGTTTTCTGGACTTATCAGGTTTTAGATGCTGAAGTATTCTTAAGACGGTACCTTCCTCAATAACTACAGGGTCTATCACCAAGCCGCCATGATCACAATTAGTCGTCGGTCGTTCCTCATTGCTGATAGAAAACACTTTACTGAAATATTCTGATAAGTCTTCAGTTTTTTCGGTATCATTTCTTGCCAGTATTAACGGATCAATTGTTTTTCATACGACTGTCTACTCTTATTAACGCTTTACAAGCATTCCTATTCTTACAATAACTGTACTGTTCTAAGCCAGTAGAGATGAACATATTCTAATACTTTTTCATACGTCTAAGAAGTTTCTTGACTTATTAAGTTATCCATGGTGGGCAGTTATTCGGACTGCGTGATACCAGGCATGGTATAAACGGGGACGTAACTGAACTAATATAGACCATGCTTCAACTGATGAGCTGGTATCTACTGACCAATCTGTCTTAGCAGCAGCGCACTCCTGAATGACTGACATGTTAGCTCTCCATACATTTGGGCGAGGCTCAAACTGACCGTATGTCATGTCACTAGCTGTAAACGTTAATGACAAGACAGCGTGATAGCTACTCGTTAACGGTGGAAGAAAGTTTAGGCTGGCAACATCCTCAGTCGCATAAGGATTACTAAGGCCAACAAAGAACCTTTGTTTGCACAAAAACGTATGGGTTTGGATACATACTGTGCCAATGCACGCTCCATTGCCGTTATCAGAAACCTCCGAACAAAGGAGTTTATAGATCCTAACGCGGCCATCTCAGTCCAACTAATATCAAGCATGTTATTTGCGCTCCATAGCTTAACGCGCTCTAAAATAAAGTCATCAGCAAGGCAGATTGGGGCGCGAAGTGTGCCCCGTAGTTGTTGCTGTAGTTTCGTGATCGTATCATTAACCAACCTTAACAGTTGCGACAATTATTTGGCGTAAGTTCACTGTATGCCGACTTCTGTTATCTATTTACCGTAATAGAAACCCCATTGGCATTTATGCATGTGTTCACGGTTGGAGGCCGTGGTGTAACGTCGATGAATCTAGATTCCCAGCTGCTGAAAAACAGTTAAGTCGGAAATAATGGCGTGGGTTCTTTAGTCAGGTACTCAGACGGGAGACCCTGTGCTACCATGTCGGCTCAGCAATTGAACTACACCACAGCACACGGCGACCATACAAATAAGACCACCAGACAAACATGGGTCGACCGTCCCTTACGCGCATTTGCCCGTGACTACTAAACATTGTGTCCACGACAGCAACTATGTGGGGGGTACGTCTAGCATGTGACTAGGGTGGTAAGTTATTTGCTGCAAGCTTATTTGATTTGCCCGTGGATGGTACCATTAGTCCTAGGGCGAGATAGATTAAGTGAACTTAGTAAGGTACCTACACTTGGTTACGACTCTTCAACCTTTCTACTGATGTGTATTTCTTCACATTAGGTTGAGGATGTGCCCGATTATATGGTTCAGATATCTTTACGTCACATTTCAACATGTGAACTGAGTTTGACATTCTGAGGCATTGGGATGAGACGCAAGATGGGTTTGAAGACAATGACGGAACTTGACAGGACGAAGGATGTTGCCTGTATTCGACAGAATGTAACTTGTCACAATTCCTGTATAGTGGATTTCGGACTCATGGATTGAAATGACCGCCGACCGTCCCCCATCGCTGTTCAGTCGGATGTATTATTAACAATAACCCACTACTGCAACGCTGGTCTTACAGTGCCGAATTAGTCAACTTTGGGCACTAAGTATAGTTATCCCACTAATTATGAAGTAGAGTCATGACTTTTGCTAGTAAACAAAATTTATTGAGTGGTTGCAATGAGTAGCGAAAAAAACAAGATTGAGTTATAAAATATCGATTAATTCCACATCAAATTTAAGTGTAGCATTTGGAGGGATAACTTTGTCGACACCCTTGGATCCATATGCGTAATCTGGGGTACAAGTTAGGTAGGCACGCTCGCCTACACTCATTTGCATAATACCTTCATCCCAACCTCGAATTACCTAGAAGGATGGGATTCAAAAACAGCAATTGTATTTACTTTCCCCGTCCCAATTACAAATTCGAATGGTTTATTTCTATCACGGGAGCTGTCAAACTTTTTTCCATCCATGAGGGTACCGGTGTAGTGAACAACGACCCTTTGACCTTTCTTCGGAATTCGTTTCCCATTGCCTGGCTTGTAGGTGTCAACAGTTACGCCCATGCCGATGACAGTTAGCGCACAATGGTGAATGACCTCATCGTGAAGGTCATCAAATGGCAAGTTCAAGCGTCTCAACAACAGTTTTTGCTATAAAACCTGATATTTTCTGGTTGTTGCGAATTTAGTTCGCAAATCGACTTGTGTTTGTGTATATTCAAGCTCATAATCGACATTTTCACTTTTATTGTTGGTATGCATGGTGAACAATTGATAATATCCTGTTTCATTCATTTGTTAGCTTCTTTATGTGATTTATTCAAACTGAGGTTTAGTTTCTGAGTAAAAGATACAGTTTCTAACCGTATCACGTGTTCATCTTTTGTTGCTAAGGATTCTTTTTCTCAATATTCTGCTATGTGTTAAATAATTATGAATCATGGATTATCGTAACATACTCAGAGTATGAGCACATTAGGAAACCAATAAGCTGGCGATTTCCAGTGAACTTATTGCCTGAACAGTGTTAGACCACCATTGGCACGATGGAAGCATTTTACAATAAACTGCAGTGCCAATTCAAAATATTCTGTTGTAGATGTTATACAAAAGTAGATCGTCTAGTTTTATTAATTTTATAATAATATCACTGAGAACGTTGTTAAATCATGAGACGCTTGTTGCATCGTTTTTCCTCCTAGTTTTCTCCCTTCCGAAGTAGTGATTTCGTTGGCTCTCCTGATTAAAGTTGGAGTTAGGGAAAGTTTAGAGCCAGATGGCTGCACAGAGCCGAAATCTGTAAACAGATTTGGATGTATCCGTTTTCAGCATACGGTCAATTAATTGGGCGTTTTTATGCAAGACAGTGGAGGTGAAATATATTTTTGGGCGATTAATAGCTTTACATATATATATATATATATTAGGTCATCCGTAACAAAGTCCACCAAGGCTCGTTAAATGTTCTGGGAATACTTGACAAATCCCGTTAAGGTCTCAGAAAACGGTTGTTGATCGTTCAGACATGGTGTGGTATCATCGTCACTGAGGAGTTTTTCAGTTTGTCTCAAAGTAAACTGTACTATGTAGTAAAAAATTGACGACATATTGGTTTTTACTGCTTATGGTTGGTAGTTCAAATGTGTTGTTTCTTATTCTATGGGCATAGTTGTGGATTAAAACTTGAAAATGAAATCCAGCTTACTATTTTGTAGAAAAATAGGTCTTTCATTTGTCAACGACCACATAAATTTGCTAAGGCAATATGTCTACATCAACCTATTTAGTCAAGGATAGAATCCTATCCCAGTGAACGATGTGTGAAGCTTTTCTTGATATTCCTCACTGATATCTCATCTTTGGTATTCATACTTGAGAAAATGCATAAACGATGTTCAAAGTAGGGTAATGTACATATTTAAAAAGTGTAAGCTTAGTCTCTTTGATCAAGAATCTTTAACTATGAAACCCGTAAGCATTCTTGATGTAAAAATGATACGTGAAGTACGTTCTTGTACACTTCGTACAATGAACCACTAGACCGAATGTCAAGTTAAATATCTGATCTCTACATTAATTTAGGCACAGTGACTATTATAGAGACACTTTCTAAAATGCATGGTCTCATATTCGTTATGATTACGTGGTAGCTGACGATTTTTACTACAGACAGACAGGTTGTCGCGCTGAAACTGAGAAATCCTTAACTTACAGCTCCGAACCTAGGCTATGTACTATGATGAGTTTATCGGCATACATGTATGATCTTTTACAAATGACTGGTCACTATATGGTGACCACTGTCATATCTTTCTTGGTGCACACTGAATTTTGCTGATCAAGTTGCAGTGTGACAACCAGTTTTGATGACTCGACATCTTGTGCACTATATTGAAGCGTAGTGGATGTTTGTAGAACCATTTAATTCTGTCTATTAAGATTCTGGACCAAGAAAGACATGAACCACATGACATATATCAATACACAGTGACCAATCATTTGTAAATATACCCCATTCCCATCGGATGTCACAGATAGCTCAGTGGTAACTTCTCGGAGTGTGAAGCCGAGTGACATTGGAATAGAGCATCAGTTCCCTTACTACTACTAGTACACCTTAATGACGGGTGTCTGATAGCACAAAACCCAGGTCTAAGGTTTTTTGTCGACTACCACCAACCATCGCTTTGAAGGTATAATTTCCCCAATTTCACAGTTTTTGGTGGAGCTTTGTTCTCTGAGCTGGATGGTTTGGTCGTGGAGCTTTCATCGTCCTTCTGAACGACATCATCAGCACAAACTTCTTCACAGTTTTACATATATATTTTATTTACATGAAAAAGATGGTGGACACATTGCACTTCTCTTAACAATTCCATTAGCCTTTGATCACGATGATGAGACAAAGATGTACCTTACCATCTCTTATATTATTTTAGGAAGGAAGCAAATCATGAATGCAAAGTAATGATGATTCCGAATAACTTCAACTTGAGAAGATTTTAGTTTGAGACCATGGTAAACGCTTTTTGAAGTTGAGGAACAGACTTGATACAATAACCCGGAATCTGACGTTGTTACATCAAAATGAGGTAGTCTATAATGCTGTCCTAATCTTCGAAAATCCATGCTACGAAGTCGACGTTAGACTCTGACAGCTTTAGATTGGTGGTTGAGTGCTGACTGAAAACATCTTGGTAACATCAAAGCATAACAGTTAAGGTGTTTATATACTTCCTCATTTTTCGTATGCATCATATTTCCTGTTGTCCAACACTGTATGTTTGAATTATGGCGTTTGAAACTCATCACGACCTTAGTAAAAACCTATTATGACCACCAGTCTGACTTCTTTATGTGTACAAAACAAGTTGTTGGGGCGGTATTTGTGCTCAAACCCCGGTCTTTAAAACTGAACGTGTTCCATTGTGTTTTAATGTTGATTATTAATTACAGTCTACTAGCTTGATCAATACTAATAGCTGGTCATCTGTATATATGATTAGCTATGATGGTTCATTAACAAGCTTTAGTAGTATCTACATTGTCCAGCGAAATTTACTTGTTAAAACTTCAACCACTGTCAAATAAATTGATTAGTCCGTCTTTGAGCACACAAAATAAATTCGGCTTTACATTTTTTAGTTTTGTCTTGGAAGTAGGTCTGTAACATTATCTTCAATACATAGTTACTTATATATATATATATATGGCACAGTATTTATTTTGGATTTGTATACATTTATACCATCTTTTTGACTACGAAATTTTGACTCACAGAATATGACTATGAGTTGTGGTTTACTCAACAAAGACAAAAAATGAACCACTTGTCTTTGCCAGTTGGTCTATGAAGGTAGAAGTCTATCCAAAGAGAAGTATTAGGTGATTGGTCACCAACATAGTCCTTACGTCAACACCAAGATTTCGTTCACCGCCCGTCGCATCAATATACACCGACCCTTCCGTGCTAGGTCTCCGAATCACAGTTGATAGGGAAGCTCTGGAAGATATGTAAGTATCATCGATGAGCAAGGAGGATCCAGTGCCGACGTTAGTGCGAGGATTTACAAATCAGTGATAGCACTCCCAAAAATGAAGAACATATGGAATCCAAAACGACTCTCAAGCAATATCAAATCTTCAATATGAACACCAAGACAGTCCTACTATACGCAGCTGAAACTTGGAGAACTGCCACAACCATAAGCGAAAATGCAAAAATATTAATAAACAGTTGTTTGCGCAACCTACTGCTTAGGAGAACAAACCAGCTTCCAGTTGAAGAGGAAGTTAAGAAAAGACGCTGGAAGTGGTTATACATCGCAGAAATCATGAAACTGCATCACGAAGTGAGCTCTTATTTGGACCTCGAAAGGGAAAGGAAAAAGAGAAATGCCAAACAACACAATACGTCGAGATTTGGAAGCATACAACAGAATAATGGATAGCAACTGGAAAGAAATGAAAAGAATTGATCAGGACAGAGCTTGATGGAGATTGCTAGTGAGAGTCCTATGCTTTTCTCTGAGTAATAGGCGTAAATTAGTAAGTATGTGAGTAACACCCGCAAATTGGCTTCTGTTTGAACGTAGAAAACGATGAGTAACCATGAACACTAAAGGATCATTTGTAAGTGTAAATTGATTTGGTGCCGTTTTAACTAACTTATCCGCGATTACATATATATTTGATAGATTTTGATGTCTACAGGACTTTGATTTTCAAAACTTGCCACAGGTCATGCTTAAATCATTTGAATAATGTGTTTTGTTTTCCAGGCAGTAAGTTGTTATGTGGTAGAGAGTGATATGGGACATTACTTTCATAGTCGGTCACTACAAACGCATTTTGGCGAGCTTTTAACTTTGAAATAATGCTAAACAAATTGGTGACCTCACAGGAAGGTATTGAGGTAGGTCCTGATTAATTTTCTGGGTTTTCATTTGGTAGTGATTGATTCTTCTTTACGTGATGGAACATTTTATCTTATATCTGAGAACTTCTGTGAGTCCGAAAGAGTCACTACCAAGTATTTCATGACGTTTTTCTGGTCCAGTGATATACTGTAAATGTGTTTGCACTGTCTTAACACATATCGATGTCCTCAAAACAAAGAAGAAACGTCTTCATGTTTGTGGGATCGTTTGTCATATAAAATAAAATATGAAGTGTTAACATGAATAAGCTTATAAGTTATAATCAATTGTGAAATAAATTACCAGAAATAATATAGTCAACATTGATCGGAGAGAGAGACTAATGTAGTTACAAATCAGAAACAATGTAATATATTGGATATGAATTAGGCAAGTATTAGTGTATAGGGGTGGATGCTGCTCCCTTTATTCTGATCAACCTCGGGCCGAACTATTTAAAGCCGATTTATGATATGGTGACGTAATTTGATTAATGTTTACTTTTATATTTTAAACTTGGTTTATCCACACATTTTATCATTGTCATCATTGTTGTTATTATATAACTGTTACATTTGCCAACCTTCCCTGGCCTAGACTCTTCCGAACGTTTGCTGATTATACCATTATAATAGCTAAGAATAC